TGATTAGATTTGCTTCTCTAAATGTTCAGATTATATGGTGCACCCAGAATCCTTACAGTCTAGTACAGGAAGATCAGATGGGGGAAACACTTTGGAAGTACGGCAGTTCCTTGTCAGGTTAAAACACTTGCTTACCTTCGCACCCAGAAATGCCCTTCCTAAGTACTTACCAAAGAGAAATGAAAACTTTAGTCTACCCAAAGAATCGTACAAACATATTCATGGCAACTTTATTTTAAAATTCCAAATGGTAAACAACCTGAATGTCCATTATAGGCAAGTAGATGAACCCATTGTGGCATGGTCACACATGGAAATACTCAGAAAAAGAAAGAAATCAATTACTGATATAGATGAGAGAATGAATCAGGTTCAAAACATTGTTGAGGGGCTCCTGGGTGGCTCAGTGGATTAAACGTCTGCCTTTGGCTCAGGTCATGATCCCAGGGGTCCTGGGATGGAGCCCCACATGGGGCTGTCTGCTCATCAGGGAGTCTGCTTTCCCTCTTCCTCTCCCTTTGCCCTTCTCCCAACTTGTGCCCTCTCTGTCAAATAAATAAAATCTTTTAAAAAAATGGGTTGTGCAAAAGAAGCCAGCTGCAAGAGTGCATGCTGGCTGATTCTACTTACATGAGTTTCCAGAGAAGGCAAAACTCCGCATCTATGTGTCTATGCTGACAGAAATCAAACCAGTGGTTGTCTTGGGTGAAGGGGACACAGATATTGACTAGAGGTGGGGTGGTAGGTGGGGAGACTTGGTGCTGTGGTTAGATGACAGAGAAGAGTATCAGGGAAATGTGAGGTGATTCAATCCTGCCAGCTCTACTTAGAGTTCAAGGTCATGAATTTAGAGTAATTCCAGCAGCATGGTTGTGTTTACCCAAGTTCCACTGGACATATACAGAGACAGAGAACTGGATTGAAGCAGGGTACCTGGTTTTGCTAAGTGAGTAAGATGAAGGGAGATGGACAAATCATTTCTTAATCCCACCGGAATGAAAAGACTTTTCTTTTGCTTGTTCCTACAGAGAAAGCAACATCCCCAAATATGCATGAAGCACAAATCAGCAAAAGTGCCAAGTAGACCCAAAAGGATCCCCTGTCCCACTTCTTCTAGTCAGCTCTGTCTGACTCCAGGGCCTCACCCAGGGACATGCTGGGCTTTTTGAGCAACTCTCTACCTGTGGGATTCTTCTGCTCACAGGACCTCCTTGAAGATGCTTCATTAGATCATGAAAAGCATCTCCTACCCCACCTGCAGAATCAGGCACCAGCCGGTGAAACTCAACCCCAGGGCCATTCCACACAGACTGCTTGTTGTCCAAAGAGCCGTGTCAGGTATAATCAGCTTTCCCAGAATGTGTACAAGCAGTTCAACCTTTACCACTGGAGGTAGCCAGCCAAGAGAAAGGCAGAAAGAGTGGAATGTGGGAGGAGGAGAAAAGTATAAAGGAGAACACAGTTCCAGGGTTTAGCCTCTTCAGGAATTGCTCCACACAGACCTTTCATCCTGAGCCTAATGGAAGACAAGCAGACTTTACCGTTCATCTGTTTTATGAACTTCTTAACTGGGATCGGTCACTCCAGACTTGAATAGAACTCATTAGCTCTCACCCTCCAAGAAGAGTCTGAACCTGGATCCCTTGCTTCAGTCCCACAGCTGAGACCAACTGGCCCTCTTCTTTGGATACTTCCCACCTTGGCAGCCAACAAGCCTACATTCTCAGCAAGGAGGTGACTCATGACCTCTCAGCCCCAGTCCTTTTTCCAGCTCATTTCTCGGTTCCTGGCTTTGGCCAGCAATGTATCATGAATCATTCCCTGAGGGCACTTTACCAGTTCAAGTTCCTGCTCCGAGTCTCTGGGACTGGCTGTGTGAAATGTGGTAAGAATATAGCATCTGCCTATTATTAAGGTAGATGACGTCCTTGCACACGCTAAGGAGGTGGTGCCTGGGGAGAGAAGGTCTTCCAGAGTCTCCCAGTGAAGCCAGAACTTGCAGCCGTTCCAGGCCTGATTTCCTGCCCTGCCAAACATGGCATTGAGCCTGGAACCCCAGAGGAGACAGAAGAGGCTGCCCTTAGGTGTTCCACCTCAGTTTTACGATTGGATTTACCAGTTTAGTTTCCTGGATCCTGGTTACTCATTCTACCTGTAACCCACCAGGCTTCATGGTCTTCCACTTTTAGAAGGAACGCTCCAGTGGGACAGATGACTTTCTCATTAACAGCCGGTCTATGGTCTAGAAACCTTCAGAGCCAAGGTCTGAGTCCAACATGGGGAAGATGCTAGACCCACAGGCCTAGCCTTGACCAGGCTGACCCCAAACTCCCAGCTATAGTAGCCTTAGTGAACTGTGTTCAGAAATACTTGGTTGCGCTTCTTTCTAGCACAAAATTTCCTTCTCCAAAGCCCCTGTTGGGCTGTTGTTTGTTGGTGGTAATGAAAATATTTCAATCCAATGATCACATTTATAGACCACTCTGAATACAGTGGTCTAACCCAAATATCAGCTTATCAAAAAATGGCCTCAGTCAGGGAAGCCTTATTCATTCTACTCTGATGTGTCAGGATGGATTCAAGAGAAGAAAAACACCTGGGGGTCTGCCTCCAGGACCTAGCCACAGAGGAAAGAGGTAGACATGCCAATAGAATGGCTGGATGAGGAGTAATGGGCAATGCTCAGCACGTGACCATTTATCACACTCCTCAAGAGTGATGCCCATGGCCCATGACAAGTACTACGGGGCCCCGTGCAAGGGCAGGATAGGTTGAGCCCCAGTGGCACTGATGGCCAATGAAAATACTATTGGCGTTTTGGGTGGGACAACTCTTTGTCGTGTGGGACTGTCCTGTGCTTTGCATTCTCAGCCTTCATCACTGACAGCTCATAGCAACTCCCAGTGACCGTGATAACCAGTCACGTTTCCCAGAGGTGGGAGGGTCGGACTGTCCAGGTCACTACTGCCCTGAGGAATCCGAACACCAGGGGTCTGTGGCTCAAGGCAATGGTGAATTCTTGGCTCCTAGCTACTCAGGCATTCATTCTGGTCAATTGGGGAGGAGGGGGCAGAGGGGAAGGGGGCAGGTGTGGATGGAGCACCAGGGCTCTGACTGTAGGCCCAAATCCAACTGGAATGGGTATCTATGGTTTTTAGGTGTTTGGCGTCTATTCCTACTTCTTTCGGTAACAGGTTACCAAAATTACTGTTTGGCTTCTTCCCTGTTCCCAGTCCTCAGGTGCTCCATGGAGTTGGCCCTCAGTTCCAAAGGTGGTTCTAGCCTGGCCACTCAGAGCAGGGGTAGAACATGGGTTCCAGGAGGGACGCAGGACCCAGTGAGAGGCTGATCAGACTCTTTGCTGCTGGGAAGCAGACCACCTTCCTGCCAGACTTGACCTTCAGAGGTGGGCGGGGAGTGCCCCCCGCCCCACCGCAGTTGCTGCTGTGGCCATCTGGCCTCCCTTGTGGGAAGAGTCTGCCAGAGGATGGAAGCTACCGTGCAAAAGCAGGTAGAAACAGGTTTGGGGGCACGGCCTGAGCCCCTTGGAAGAGACCACATCTGAGCTGGAATTCTCTCTTGATTTTTATAGGATTTAATACCTCCCCATTTGTCCAGGCCAGTTTGGGTGAGGTTGTCCAACATTTATGAAAAGGGACCAATGCCGAGGCCAGGAAAAGGAGTTACTATCTTCAGTTGAAGGACCCAGGGTGAGCAGAGGCAGAAGCCGTGGGCCCCAGTCCTCACCACCCCATTTCTGGTACCTTTCATCCTGACCCGTGGGACAGATGGGTAATATGACCTTGCCCCACCCGGGACATCTGTATTCTTCCTGGGTAGGCTGCTTCCCAGGGGAGGTGCTTTTCAGTTCCTGTACTTTCTCCCCACCGGTATACCGGTGCCTACTTAGAAAAGGAAATCCTGGGATTGGGAGGTGGTAAGTGGGGTGCAGGATTCCTGGGAACTGGCCTGGACCACCTTGCCTAATCCTACCTTCCCCATTTTGGGTAGACCAGCTCCCTGCCTCCTCAGGGGCCATCCTGCTGGCTCCCAGCCTGACCAGCTCTTGGAGGGAGCTGCAGATCTCTTGATCAGGGCTCTATGCACTCACTTGAGTTCAGAGCTGTCCTCCTCCCCATTAACCACCACCTGGTATCCCCTGGCCATGACTGAGGGCTTCAGTGCCTTCTGGACTTCCAGTGGTAGCCATCTACATTTCTTTGCCCAGGGCATCATTTCTGGAGTGAACAAAAGTCCCAGGGGAATTAACCACCTCCCTTCCAACACCCCTTAACTGAGGACCAATGGGTTGGGTGTATAAACATCCAGCTTTCCTGCCTCTGCCAGGATTACTCTAAGGTTTATGGTCTGTCTCCCCTCCTCAACCACGGCACCCCCATAACCAGGCTACCCCAGCAGATCTAAGCTTCAGTTGTTCCCAGTGGCCACTGCTCTGAATTGACTGTCATCTCACTCTGCCTCAGCTGCTCAAGGACCCCCAGACTCTGGAGGGAGGCAGCGAAGTTGCGGGACAGACCCCAAGGCTTCAAGTCGCTCTGTGCCCTGCCCCTGCGCCTCTCCCATCACAGGTGAAACCAAATGAAACCATTTCTCAGAGACAAAGTGTCTCTGGGTATGGAGCCTCTGTTCCCCAAGGTGCAGGCCTGGAAAGGGGCCAGGGCATCCCTCCTGTTCCCACTAACCGGGATTACCACTGGACAGAAGTGCAGTTGACTGGTTATGTTAGGTACTGAATTAAGTTGTATAATTCTTGCTTTTAGAATGGGGAAAATCAGAAGCAGTTTGTTCTGTGAGTATGGGCAGAGAAAGTTGCCCCCCTCAGGTCTGTGGTCCTCAACAGGAACAGGAGGACCCCACCCTCGTTTGCCTGTTGCTCTACAAAGTCATCCCACACTTATCTCCCAAACCCATTTGCCAAGTCCAACTTTGTGTCTCTGGGTAAAACACACTAATGAAACAGAATTCTTTTTTTTTGTTTGTTTTTGTTCTATTTTGGTGACAAGAGAGATCCTTGATGGAAACTGGATCTGTAAGAAAAAAATAAGGATAGAGCTGTTAGCTTGGACAACATTCCATGACCTTGGAATTTTGGTGGCTTTCCAGTTTTACAACTTCATGGGTGAGGAGGGTTCAGCCGTTGAGGTCTTCTTGGGGAAAAATGAATTATATAGGATTCAAATTTCTTCCATTCTCTTGTCCAGTCTCCTTTTCATCCAAACAGCCACTTGGAGCCTGGTGTTCCCTTTCAGGCTGTGATGTGCTTATGCAAAAGGCATGGCTCACACTTGGCTCAGTCAACATTAGCATCTTCTATTCTCTCCCCACCCCCAGGGCCCCTAGCAGCTGCGGTGGAGCCTCCCTCCCCCAAAACTGGGCCATGGCAGTGAATTTTACTGTGCTCGGTGCCCGAAAGGAGAGGGGAAACAGCCCCTTCCTTTCGGTGCCTCCTCATTTCCAGTGGGATGCTAAGAGAGAGGCTTACCAAGCTTTAAGAAAGAAGGTTCTAGAAACACCTTTTACCAAAGAGGGGCTTTTGCCACTGCCATTAGATGGTTCTTTAGGCTCTGGACTGAGGAGGACACTAAACTATTTCCCTTCTACCAGGTCTAATTGCTGAGCCTTTGGAACTCAGGATGTCCCAGTGCACCTCCCCCAGGCACCCGCTGACTTTCACAAACCCTCATGGGGCTTTCCAGGGTTCAAGCACTTGTCCAAGCCAAAAGGTCTGACCATTGGAGTTCATCTGTCACTCTGCTACCATATCACCTTCTAAAAGCACTCCTGCCTCTTGTCAGTGCTGCTGGCAGGGTTCCCACCTAGTTTGCTCTACTACTTTGTGCAGTAAAGGGAAGCAACCTCAGCCCCAGAGTTGGGGTAGAATATAGGGGGAGCTCTGGATTGGTCTAATGCATTCAGGGTAATTTAACTCCCCTCTGCCATTAATTTGTTGAAGAAGACACGAGACCCAATTCAGGCGTATGTCACCCCAATTAGAGGGCAGGTATACCAGGGGCAGGGGCTTCTGGGAAAAACTTAACTCAAGAAGAGACATAAGGAGGAGGTGACCTTTTCCCTGACTTCCGAGGGTCAGGTATGAGGATGGAATTCTGGGACCTCTTCCAGATATCTGCCCGTGAGGAGAAACGAGCCCCTCCTTTGCTGAGGGGTGTCAGAGCTGAAAGCCAGATTAGTCCCCAGGTCCCTGCTGACCCTGTTGAGTTAACCATCCATGTGCTGCTTCTCAAGTGTTCCCTGAGATAATCTCCCTGTTGCCATTTTGAATTAGGTTTTCTTGAAATTTGTAGCACCAAAAAATCTAAGCCACATTCCACTTATCAAATCAAGTCTTAAAATGCCTCGTGGCATTTGGAAACCTACCAATTTGCACTTTCAGTTTTACAGCTGAATTAAGGGGAGAGAAGTCCAAGGGGAGCACTTTCCTGTTTACCAAGCACCTTATCCATTAGAGGTAGGTATTTTTCATCCTGCCCACAAGTGAAGGTATTCTTCTCACGGGGCAGTGGAAACTTTTTGATCAGGAAGATCAGCATTGAGGGCAATGGTCGAAAATGCAGGATGTGTAGGAAGTAGGAAGGGTGAGTCCAGGAAGCACCTGGGTCAGCCCATCTATCCCAGGAGGGGAAGAGGCTGTGAACCTGGGTGTGGGTGCAGGGCCCCCCTCATCTGTTCACTTTACAGATGAGGGTGGGTCCCGGCCACAGGATAGGGAAGCACATGTCTGTCCGCACTCTGTGAGGCACAGAACAACAAACAGAAATGTAGTAGCAGGGTCCTCACAATCAGGTCTCAGCCCTGCTCACCAGCGCCTTCTGCTGAGATTGTCTCTTTGCTGCATTTTCCTACCTGTGGATACCACTTGCTGACCTGAAACCTACCTGCTCTTCCCTATCTCTGAGAACTTACTGCGTGGGACCCTGCATGCTTGCCTAGACCCAGAGCAAGCCCACAGCAGGTGTCTTCTTCACTGGCACCTTCCTTCACTATCAGACTTCTAAATGGCATCTTCCTGGCCTCAGTTCCTGGCTTCCGGCTCTATTTAGGTCTTCTCCCTGAGTCATCTTAGCCACTGCCTGTGGCTATAAATCTTAGCTCTTATGAATCACTCCCACGCTTGGAGCTAAGACCTGGCTTTTCCAGTGACTTCCATATGTCCATCTGCTTCCGTGACATGTCCCTTTGGTAGTCCAACGCCTCAATAGTAACAACAGAATAGAACAGAACTCTCGATTTCCATTCTCTCCTGCGCCTTTTGCCTCTGGCAATGGCACCCCAAGGAGTCATCCTTGAAGCTTCCCTTTCACTCATCGCTTCATCCAACCTATTAGCAAGACTTGCTGGTTCTGGCTCCGTAATGTCCCTGGTCACTTCCCCTCTGCAGCCATCCCCTTGATCCAAGCGCCATCTTTGCTTGTCCAGCCCAGTGCAGATGATTCCCACCTCGTCCTCCTCCCCCTTCCCCGTCCTCTATCCAACAGGCACTGTGATTGTTTTGAAATCTTTGAAATGAAAACCAACAGCTTGAGAGACATCTAGAACACGAAATCTTCAAGGCTGTACCTGACCTTGGTCTCCCCTGTGATAGCATCCTGACCACCAGAGCTCCAGCCATATTGGCCTCTTCTCTGTCCTGAAACATGTTAAATTCCTTCCTGCCTAACTGTTGGAGCTGCTCTTCTGTCTGCAAGCACCCTCTTCCCCCAGATTTGTACTGTCTGTCTCCTTCTGCCCTATATGTCTCAGCTCAGAGAGGCCTTCACAGACCAGCCTGTTGCAAGCAACATCCCCGCCTGCTCACCCGCCCTTCTCTGCTCTTTATCAGATCTACTTTATATCTTTATTTCCTTGATAACACTTGCTGCCAAATCAAGTGATCTTGTTTATTCATTAAACGGGTCAATTGTCTGTCTGTGGCCACTGGAATGCGGGCTCCCTGGGTGGGGGGATGGATCTTTTGTCTGTCTTGGTTTACTCCTATAGCACAGTGGGAGGGACCCAAGAAATATTAATGAATGAATGCATTATTTAACCAATGAACATGCTCTCTTGTCATTTGGACTCTGCCGTCTAGCTTGGGTGTCAGATAAGCATTTGTCTCCATGGGAATTACTATCCCCTGCCCCCTTTGCCAGGGAGCCTTGGCCAGTCTAGATCCACAGACTTTACCGGACTTCCAAGCCTGAAGCCCTTGCCTTGGCCTGTGGGTGGGTGTGGCCAACCATTTCCCGCTGTGGTCGTCGTGTCTCACAGTCCCCAGTATGGTGCCGGGCACATGGTCAGTACTGACATGCGACAGCTGTGCTGACCCACTTGCCTATTTACAGAGGTTCCTGCAGGGAACCCCAGGGTGTTGGGGTGGGAGACACTAAGTTTGACTAGTGTCCAGGAATTGTCACTGCAACTTTTAGGCTTTTAGAAAGTCCTCTCCTGACCCCTGCTGGTGGCACCATAATTAGACCTCAGACTCTTAGTGTCCACTGAATGATGGGATAGGACACTGGAGTGCAGGCTCTGGCAGAAGCAAGTCTGGAAGAAGCCAGGTCTTGCTGATGAGGTCAGTTAAAGCACATTTCAAGGGCCCCAAAGCCAATGAGCACACCATCCCAGTGCTGGAAACAAAGTTTGACCAAAGCAGTGGGTCACGTGGGGGAAAGGCCACCTCATCAGAATTGCGAGGCATGGGCTACGGGTCCTGGGAAGGAGCCTGTCTCAGGTGGCAGGAGCCTGTCTCTCCCTCAAGGGACACCGGAGTGGTCAGGGGACAGCTATGGCTGGAGAAAAGAAGTCCATCCCTGGGAGGACCAGCCTGTCAGGTGTGAGTTCTGTTGTTGGACTAGTTTTATCTGGCCTGGAGAAGGCAGGTCCCCAGGCTTGCCTCCAGGCAAGGGGCCCACCCTAAGAAGACATAAGGAGTCACCCTTCAGAGCAGAAGAAAGAGGTGAGCGGTGCCAAGTTCAGGCACAGCATGCATTGGTCAGTTTGTTAAGTGAGGTCAGCAATATAGAAACCCCACAGGCCACTTGAACCCTCACCTCCAACACACTCACAGCCTCAGTCTCTGGGGAATCTTGTTGGCTTTGCCACAGATTCACTCTCAGTGGCAGGGACGTGACCTACTCCTCCAGGGCCTGGACGGGGTTCCACTCTACTCCCCTCCTCCCGTTTTCCCCTTCCCCATCCCCTTTACTCACCCTCCTTGCTGTCTATAAACATCTCCCTCCTCCCCTCCCTGAGCCCCTCCATGCAGGGCCCCCGACACCACATTAAGTCACCAGGCTCTCTGCCACTCATCTTTCAACCCTCGTTAAAGCAAAGACAGCGTCCCGGCGTACAGCTGCTGGTCTTAGGGTCCAGCGCGTGTCCTTGGAACACACAGGACACCGCCTTGAAAGCTGAGCCTTTCTTGGGCACCCTCCTCTGCTAGAAGTCCATGACATTTGGGATTCATATCTCCTGTGAGTCTTTTTATGGCAAGCAATAGGGTTTTCCATTTATGGCCACACTTAAATTTGCCTTGAAAATAAATGCATGTAAGTTCAAAAGAAAGCTAATTTTAAAAAGAGTAAGGCTATTGCAGGTGTCAAAGTCGGCCGAGTTTGGGGAACACTGAGTTAGGAGGTGGTGTTGATGACGCAGATGGGGCAGCGGCTGTGTGGAGGGCCTCAGCTGGGCGGGGCCCTCTGCTGAGTGTTTGACATGCGTGTTTTTCACCTACTCCCTCAATAACCCAATGAGAGGGGTACTGTTATTACCCCCATTTAACAAGAAGAAGATAGCAGGAGTTAAGGAAAACTTGCTCCAGGCCCTAGAGATCCTGGATGTGGGAGGGGAATCCAATCTCAGGCTTGCCTGCCGCCAGTGGCAGAACCCAAGGGGACACCGTGGCCCCTGTTGTAAGGAGCCTTTAGGACACAACGCTTTCGCTCAGGGCCATTCTTCAAACTGCTCATCACCACCTGTGACCCGGCCTGGCGAGTCTGAACATCCCCTCATTAAATCCTCAAAACCACTGCCCCTGGAGGTAGTTATTATTCCTCCTTCTTTAGCAAGGACATGCCTCTTAGAGAAGTTAAGTGAGGCATCTCCGAAGACCCAGTTACCGGGCCCCGTCTCCGAAGCCTGCACCTTTTTGACCACTCCCACGATGGTCATAGTCACGAGACTGGCCAGCTGGCCAGCCCTGTCCTCTGAGCACCCTATCTCTGACTCCAACTCCAGAGGTCCCATGACCTTCCCGGTTTATAGACCAGGAAACTGAGGCCCTCAGCTACATCTGCTATTTCATGAAGCTTAAGGTGCTTTTATTCTTCCATTAAAGTCCCTTGATCAGGCAGCAGAGCCCCCGAGTGGCTGGTGAGCTTCCTTTTTGGGTTGGGCTTCTGAAATGCTTTGAGCATCTGTTCCCACCACATGCCCTATTGTGGCCATTCCTCGTCCATTCCTATGGCTGGTGGAGTCTGGAGATGGGTTGAACAGCTGCCATTACCATTACCCCCCATTATTAGGCATTCACTGCCAGTGGATTTGACAATGGCAACAACCATGGGTGCTCTTGGTGCCCACCTAGATCCTCTTTCTGGGCAGGTGCATCCATTCCCCAGCTCCTGCTAACTGTGAATGTTGGCTGCTAATTACTCAGAGCTGCCTCCTTCCCCAGGAACTTTCTCTCAAGAGGGCAAATGAGATCTGCTTTTCCCCAAAGACATACACTCCCTATCCACACTCCTACTGCCAATTACTCAATGATGGAGGAGCACAGAAGGCCAAGCTTCTTGCTCCAAGGTGAGACCAGCTCTGTGGTTAATTCACACGCCAGAGCTCCCCTGGGATCAGGCTGAGGCTGGACTCCAGCCGAGACCTCCTCCTTGTCCTACTACTTCCTCTGTCCTCTCTCACCTCCTTCACTCCTATTTTCCCTCATAAATCCTATGCACCAAATCCCTGTCTCAGGCTCTGCCCCTGGGAGCCTGGCCCAAGACAGGGGAGGACCGGAGATACCATGTAAGGCATGCTCTCTGCCCTCAAGGACTGTGCAATGTAGTTGGAGAAATAGGCCACATAGGTAACAAGAAATCACCCACAGTACAGGGTAGAAAAGGCTGGAGAAAACAGTGTTAAAAAGATGGGGAGATCACTGGAACTGTGGGGGGGAAGAGCTTATGGAAGAAATGGGACCAGGTCATAAAAGATAAGTAGCACTTCAGAAGGGAAAGTTCTCTTGGCAGAGAGAAAGTTCCAAGGGAAGTCCCAAAGAGAGATGGGAACCTCTGTCCAACCTCTGTCCAACCTCTCCGGCTTCTTCCTGCCTGGGATCTGTGACTAGGGAACTCCCACCCCCCAGTGAATGTTGGGGGAACTCTGATTTGACAATCCCAATAATGGGTCTAGCATTTTCCAAGAGTATCAGGGCTGCTTGAGAGAGCCATGTCAGATGACCCTGAGGTCAGGAAGTCACTCAGTTCTTAAGCTTTCCCTGAGAGGCTGGAGGCTTGGTCCACCCATAAATTATTCCTCCTTTATTCCCAGAAGGGACAGACACTCCCTCAGCCCTGCACTGCAGGCACGGTGACCCAGTGGGCTTGAGTGTTACCTGTGCAAGAGGACGGAGGCACAAAGGGGGTACACATACCTGCCGGACCGAGGGCCTGGGGGGTTGCTCACAAGGATTCAGTGGTGTAATAGGCAGCTCCTAGGGCCCCCAGAACCACAGCAGCAGTCCCGAGAGCTTGGAGCACGCGAATTACGATGAGTGGAGTGTTTCCTTGTAGGTTTTCTGTAGAGCAAAGCAGAAAGCCCACAGGTTGGGAGAATCTGGACTCTAGTGCCTGTCCACAGACAGGGGAGGCAGAAACTGTAGGATCCCCTCAGCAGTTCAGAAATGCCCATCTCCCCACTACTGATGCTCCTCCCAAGGGAAAACAGCTCTGTCCACCTCTGTCCGGTGACTCCCTGCCACAGGACCCCCACCTCCGAGGATGGGCAAGCCTGGGATGCCAGCTCCTGGGGACACTCAGGAAGCTGGATATGAAGGCAGGGAAGGCTGTGGTGTGCAGGCCAGAGCTAAACATCTCACACCCAGTGTCTTCCTCCAGCCTCACAACAACCCCGTGAAGTAGGTTCTATCATGGGGCTCCATTTTGGAGAAGAATCATCTCAGGAAGCCCCATGAGATGCCCACCACAGAGGCAAGGAAGATGGACCATCGTGCCAGTGACTGTGAGGAAGGATTTCCCAAAAGGCAATATCCATTTGGACAACAATCCTGCTGAAGTAGGGAATCTTATTTGATGTGAATGTGTATTTAAAACCAAGATCCAACATTCGGTTCCACTGAGAAATGTAAAGAATATGGAAGCTGATGGTGTGATTTGAGTGGAGTTGAGACTAGAGGTCTCACCCGGGCCAGGCAGCATCTCTGCCCCTCCCTCTCCTTCCCCTAATGGGGAACGGCCTTGCTTTCACCTTTCCCTCCACCTTTTCACAGTAAGCCAGGGAAAGATCCCAAGACCCTTCTAGACTCAGCGCAGATAGATACCATTGACACTATAAAGTCTCTGTGGACCCAACTTTGGAGGGAGCTCCCCTTTTTTCTGAAGCTCTTTGAACTTCTAAGAAGCAGGGCTCACTTCTGGGCTCCCATCTTAGTTTTCTGAATGGACACGTCTCACCTTGCCACATAGACTGCACGATTTTTAAAGGGTCAAGTTCCTTGTTCTGGTTTTCCTCACAGTACCTAGTCTTCTATGCCCAGGAGGGGTTCCCACTTGTTGGTTTTAAAGCGACATGAAATCCATGGCATGGCTCGACAGATGGACAGATGGACAGAAATACTAAGTGTGTGAGAGAAAAATCAGTAGAGGTGAGCGGCGGGCAGGTTGTTCCTTGATGGGACTTACTGGACTGTAGAGTATTTTTAGCTCTACACATGTTCTCTCAACACACTGGGCTACCTGTTTGCCTTTCTCATGTCCGAGAGGTGATGATTTTCAGGGATGGACAGGAGAGTGGATTTGGTGGGGGAGGGAGCAGGAAGAGAGTGAGGCATTGGTTCTGCTCCTGGAGTCTGAGATCCCCAAGCAGGAAGTCTATTCATGGACATTGGTGAGACCTTTGAATATAGGTATAGCTACTCTGGGGCCCAGTGCTGGGGACAGAGGGAGGGACATAGCTTTGCGCTACTGGGAAAGTGGACTGACATCTTTAGTTCCGTTTTCTGTACAGGGGTCTTCCCAAGAGTGGAAGCAGCAGCCACCAGGTGGCTTTCTCCTGATGGCTTCATGGGAGAGGAAAGGAATGGCAGGTACCTCGGAAGATGCTGTGGGAGCCTGGGGGCGTGTCCCCTGTGGAGACTGTCAGAAATGGCGTGAAACGTGAAACCCTCTGAATGGGGTGGAGGTCTTGCTCTTACCAACCGGCAATGTGAGTTCCAATCAGTATTTATCACTGAATTCTGAGGGAAATTCATAAGCAGGTCAAAACCCTGAAGCTCTCAGGTATGGTGTGGGCCACAGAAGGAGGCCGGTAGCCCAACAGAGCACTGAATCACAGTGCTCTGAGTGAGAGAGACTTTTCTAAGGGCTGTGAGGGAGTGTGCTCTGAGGAAGAAGGGGGACTATGAAGAACCACGAGCCTCCTAAAGAAGTCATTTCCGGTAAGGAAGAAAACTGGCCCCTCTTTGTGCAGGTGGGGGATCCCTGGGCGTGGGTCTGGTCAGAAAGGACAGGGTGCCAAACCCCAGGAAGTGGCCACCCTGGAGAGGCTTCCCTTCCGCTTGGGATTCTCAAGAAGGAGTTACAACATGGCAGCTAATAGGGTCCAGGACAGAGCCAGGCCCTGGGACCCGAGTGCCCCGAGGGTCCAGCCCCCCATACGCTTCAGAACCTGTAGAAAGTGAGGAGGCTTGGGGATCCTCTCCCTGGCATGGTGGGCCAGACCCGAGGAAGGAGGACATCAAAGATGCGGCTGTGACACAGGCCCAGACGACGCCAGCAAGCGGAGCTGCCGGGGCAAGTGGAACAGGAACAGAAGGCCCGCGGGCCCGCACGAGTCACAGCCCCTGGATGGACAGAGGAGGAGAGAGATGAGGGACCCCTGCTTCTAGGAGGCATGGGAGAGCTAGGGAGACAAGGGAGGGAAGACTAGCAGCGGAACCTGGTTGTTTTAGAACCTGGAGCTCCCCAGGCCATTTTGAAATAATGGCGCTATTATTTTTTTATTCTCAGTTTATAAACAGGGAAACCGAGGCTCAAAGAATAGATGGGATGTGGCCTTGTAACACAGAGATTGGAAGAAGTGGGTTTCAGCTCAGGGTTTCTAACTCGTCTGGTGCCCCATCCATGGAATTCGGAGAAAACGACAGCGGTAGGAGAGTGACTCCGAGATTCCACTGGAACATGGTCCATTCTTCTGCAGTTTATTGACTGATCGAGAAGACAGTGGCTGCTCCAATTTACAGTCCTTGAAACACTTTCCCAAACTTCTCTCCCATTTGTCCTCTGCTGAGGATGCCAGGAGTCCTCAGATATGGCGCCGTCTGCTGTTAACACAGGAGGACTTCCGGCAGACAGTTTCCTCCTCCTCCTGGCTTGGGTCTTGGCTTCTTGACACAGCTACATGTTCTTCCAACATAAGCTCCCCAAAGCCAGTGATCAATGGCGCAGACAACACACACTTCCTCCTTAGACCTGCCTACCACAGTTATTTTCCTGGAATGGAGAAGGAAGGGATTCTAAAAGGCAAGACTTATCTTTTTTCTTTGTTAATTTTTTTAATAGACATTTAATTTCTGTGTCGTAATAGTTATTCTTTAAAGTGTTCAGTGGCTTTTGGTATATTAACAAAGGTGTAAATCCATCATTACTGCCTAATTCCAGAACATTTTCATCTTGCGCTCCAAGGAAACCCCATGGCCATTTGCGGTCGCTGCCTTTTCCCACCTCCTCCCAGTTCCGATCAATGGATTTGACTATTCTGCACATTTCATAAATGGAATCGTGTACAACATGTGGGTTTTGGAGGGCTAGCTTCTTTCACTTGGCCCAGTGTGTCTCAGGCTCATCCATGTTGTAGCATGTGTCAGTGGTGCCAAATAGGATTTCATTGTATGGACATACCACATGCTGTTTATCCGTTTATCAGATTGTTGATATTGAATTTGTCCCACTTCTTGGCTACCATTAATTAATGTCGCTGTGAACATTTATGTGCACGTTTTTGTATGGATGTTCTATTTTTAATTCTCTGGGGTGTGTCCCCAGGAGTGGAATTCCTCGGTCATACAGTAACTTCACATTTGACCGTTTGAGGAACTGCCAGATTGTTTTCAACAGCAGCTGCACCATTCTGTGTTCCCTCCAGCCATGGATGTGGGTTCCATTTAGATTTTAGGGGCACCTGGGTGGCTCAGTTGGTTGAACGTCTGACTTGATTTCGGCTCAAGTCATGATCTCAGGGTTGTGGAATCGGGCCCCATGTTGGGCTTTGTGCTTGACTCGGAATCTGCTTGAGATTCTCCCTCTTCCTCTCCCTCTGGCCTCCCCACCTCAAATAAATAAATAAATAAATAAATAAATAAATAAATAAATAACATCCTTTAAAAAAAAAAAGATTTGGATTCCAGAAAATGGTGCCCTTATGTACAGGCCCTCATCCCTTATCATCCACCCTTTTTCGCACTCTGGCTTGAATAAAATTCCCCTGGCAGAAAAGTGCAGGGTGTCCACTGTAACCATGGGCAGGCCATCCCTGTCACCTGCGTGGCCTTCTTAATAAGCAGAATTCCTCCCCAGGGGTGAGCCACACGCATTCCTCAAAAGATGTGGGGATGGAACATTTTGCTTTCTACAGATATCAGTTCTGAAGGCCATAATCCAGAAATGTTTCCACCAGTGGTTGATGATCACAATATATGCAATATGTAACACTCAAAACCATCTCTACATGTTAAGAATGGGTTGGTTCTTAGCCACCGAAATACCATTGTCTACGCAATCGCTTGGGGCTAGCTCTCTCACTCACACCTCACTTGCAGTTTATATCCACACCATCCCTGAGGAATAAGCTGTGGCCCAGAGAATGTGGCCTATTTGGGGCCATAAAGTCACTGGCACTGGCTCATGGTGAGGCCAAAAAAAGCTCCAGAGAAGGGTGTTCCTCCTCCTGGGGAAACTTGGGACTCTTGGGATCAGAAGGTCAATGCTGCAGTTAAGAGTGAAGATTATAGAGTCAGAATCGACGGAGGTCCCCCTCTTGGTGTTACCAGTGCCTGCTTGAGAGTGTGTTGTTTGATTTCTTTGAGCCTCAGTTTCCCCATCTATGAAAGGGAGACTGTGATGATAATACCTCCTTTATAGGACAGTTAAATGGGAAGATTCACACTGACAGCTGAGCTGAATGCTAGGTACATGGTAAATGCTTGTGGGTAATTGTTAGTTCGTTACTACCATTATTATTATTATTAGAAGTAGTAATATTAACCAGCCTGTCTCCCCAACTCCACTTAATTCCCCCTACGCAATCCAATGCTCAGTCAGATTCTAGCTATCCAAGAAGACGGAGGGCCACTTTTCCTAGACAGCCATTCCATTTTCAGACAGAACTAATTGTTGTAAATGTCTTCGTGTTGAGCAGAAATCTGCCTGTCTCTAGTATCTTCCATGGGTAAGGCTGCCAGATTTAGCAGATAAAAATACAGAATGCCCAGGCAATACCTGGGACTAGAAAATTACTTGTTTATCTGAAATTCAAATTTAACTGGGCGTCCTGTATTTTATCTGGCAACCCTGAGTCAGACCTCTGAGGCCAACAAAGAACAAGTCTACTCACATCTTTTACTTGACAGACAGATTTCCTCCAATTCCTTCAACCAAATCTCATACATCACATGGTTCTTGCTTTCCCAACCCCTCAAACCCCATTATCTTCTTTGGACTAGATTGCTAGGCATCTTTCACAGCACACAAGAGTATGAATGACCACCTCCCTTGTCCTAAACCATATATTTCTATTAACACATCTTTGGTTTTTATTTTTGAGCAGCCACACGGCACTTCTGACTCCTAATAGATAGTATCACCACCGAGCCAAGCACAATGTTGATCGATGTGTATGTGTGGCTGCCTTCACTGAGACCCAGGGTGGTGAGGACTGGCAAAATCCAGGAATCCTGAAATCCTAGGTAACAACAAAACCCCAAACCCTCACATTTCACCAGCACTTTCCAGAATACACGTCAACCATGCACCATTACCCGAAATGAACCCGCCTCCCGGGGACCCTAGGACTCCACCAGCAGGAAAGCTAGATGTTCTTGAGTTAGAAGCCTGCCCACCTGTTTTCCTGGATCGAGAGGATACTTTCGTGTTAGTGTCCTGAGGTAACAGGCCCCGGGTGGAGGAGTTGGTTTCAGGAGCTGGGAGAGCCTGGGGTGCAGACTGTCGGGGGTTGCTTACGGAGCCGGGCTTGGGGGTAGATCTGGGGCTGGCCTGCTGCGGGGTGGAGGCGGGGCTGGGCTGCTGTGGGGTGGAGGCGGGACTGGGCTGCTGAGGGGTGGAGGCGGGGCTGGGCGGCTGGGGGGTCGAGGCGGGGCTGGGCTGCTGAGGGGTGGAGGCCGGGCTGGGCTCCTGCGGGCTGGATCTGGGGCTGGGCTGTTGCGGAGTAGATGCGGGGCTGGGCTGCTGCGGGGTGGACTCGGAGCTGGTGCGCTGGGAGGTGGAACCATGGCGTCTGGATTCCTGCTTCTTCCTTTTGCCCTTCCTCATGGTGGGTTCTCTTCACCTAAACGTGGACCTACATGGAGCTGCCTAATCTTCCGGCTCCCTCCTGGAGGGGCCGTTTGCCCCTGCCCTGGGGGAAGGCTCTGGCCTCGGGAGGGACCTAAGCCCCGCAGAGAACAGTCACCTCCACCCCTCCTGTGAGGTCACAAACCCAGGGTGGTTCCTATGGCAGGGCTCTGGGGACAGTCTTCTCTGCCTACGCCAGCCTGCTGTCTTCCCTCCTCCCCAGCAACCGGGATAGGCAGAAGGCCCTCAGGGACCTGGGTGAGCCTGGCTACGGGAACGGGTACATCCTGGACCCCCCAAGATGTTGCGACCAGAGCGCCTCCTTCAGGCACCTCTCCGCTGGTGCTCTCCTGGTCCCTAAGCGCTCTCTGTTTGCTTTTAGACCCCCCTGACTCTGAAGCTCAGCTCTGCCATTGGTTTCCACAACCCAAAACAAACTACTTCACCATGCATCCTGTGAGTTTTAGGTAATTCTACTGAAGATTTGGGGGTCCACGGGAGGTCCGCAGGCTTCTCCCATCTCAGCTGTTTCCTCCCCATTCAGAAGATCTTAAAGTAGCTTCACCCTTCTTCCAAAACCTGCCCTCCCCACTGTAGGAAGGGGCTGGGGATCCGCAACTTGGATAGGAACCTCGCTTTTGCAAAAGAATTTCCCCTATAAGACATCACAGTTTGGAAAACTACACTTTCTTTGAACTCAGTCGCGGCAATGATGGACTACCTCTCAAACCCCAAACCCGTCGGGTCAATTAGGAGACTATGAATATTACTTCAAGGTAAAAATATGGTTTTCCTTTCAGGATGGAAGCGGAGAAGGCGTTTTTAAAAGACAAGCCTAAGCTTCATGCTGTGACCGCAACACAGAATGTGCTCACCTTAGAATACTCTACCTCTGCCATAAATGCATCAAAAGGTGGGTGAGTATTCAGCAGCAAACCTCATGCTCTTGGGGGTGGGGGTGTGTGATGCCCTTGGCCAAGGATAGGGTTTAGGGCAGACATTGCTAGAAGGCACCTCCATGCAAGGCCAGACCCGATGTGAAATGTGAAATGACAGAAAGTATTTTGGGATTCTAGATCCTGAAAAGACCGTAATGATTCTCTTTTTCGCAGAAGAGAAACTGAGGGAAACTTAGGGAAATTAAATCACCTTCCAAGATCACACAGCTAGTTGGAAGCATTGACAGGGAGAAGTTCCTATTTCATTTCACGATTCCAGAAGGCAATAGGGAATCAGATCATTATACAGGCCTTAAAAGCCAATGGGCTAGAAAGATCCCTTGAGTGAAAAGACTGAATTCTTTTAAAAAAAAGGCACCAAGGATTAGAAGGGGAAGATCCCTCAGATCAATAAAGTCAGATTGGATTTGGTTGACCATCAGCACAAAGAAGTTTAAGGAGCAGCTGAGTCTACAAGAAGGTGGTAATTCTCTAAAGTCAAGAGCAATGGATCCCTCTGCGGGACTCAATTTAGAATCAGAGAGACTGGAAAACCGGGGTCAGGGACCCTGTCCGGATTTAGCAGACAGGTCGGGAACTCCAAAGGCATTTATCTCTGCAAAATTAGATTTCCAGACACCAGTGGGCTTTTGCCTGGGGCTTCAACCTGATTTAAATCAGGGGTTCTCAACCTCAGCTCTATTGACATTTGAGGCCAGATAAATCTTTGCGGTTTGAGCCGGATGATTCTCCTGTGAATTGTAGGAAGTTTACCAGCAGCCCTGGCATCTGCCATGATATGCTGGTAGCAACTGCTTCCCCCAACCAAAGATGTCTATAGACAATGCTAAATGCCTCCGTGTGTGTGTGTGTGTGTGTGTGTATGAGAGAGAGAGAGAGAGAGAGAGAAAATTGCTCATGGTGGAGAACTCCTGTTTTAAATGAATTAGATAAAGGGCAAACACGCATGGGTAGTCTTTCCTGGTAGAGTTGAAAGAAGTGTGTCATTTCACACCAAGGAGCCAAATGGCACAGAAAACAGGTCTCTCTTCCTGAGGAGAGCGATGGAGAAAACACAGAGGCTCAGGCTTCGGGAGGAGTGGAGAATTTTTCTACGGCAGTGGAAAAAAATATGGGTGGGTTCTTTCATATGAGGGTGGTCCCAAGAAGCAGGGAGACGGCACTCATGGAGTGAGAGGTTGGCTCAGAGGGATGAGGAAGAATGGCACTGTAATACTTTGCTAGAAGGTCTTCCTTGGCCCCCACTGCCTTCCCGCTGGAGCACAAGTTCCCGGCTGGAAGTCTGACTTCTCTATAACACGGTCACAGACCAGCATCCCAGGTATACTGACCAACTTTCTGCTACCTTTTCTAGCTCTTGCCAGCTGTGAGAGTGGAGGCTTGCTTTCCTCCATCTGTGAAAGCCCTTCCCCTCTCTCAGGCCCCTCCCTCCCTCTCATTACACTTCTCGTCATCAGGTTCCATCCCAAGTGGACCGGTCTCCTCGAGGTCCCCAACTGGAAGAGACCCTTCCCTCCCCGAGTCCCAGATCACATACTGCATAGTGTTAGAGTGATGGGTCTTGTGTTTTCCCTCGAGTTCCCTACTCCCAGGCTGTGAGTACCCTGGAGGGCCCGAGTCCAGAGAAGAAGCTCAACACAAGCTTCTCGAAGGCGAGGGTAGGAGGACAAAGAAAGCAGGAAACCGCCGAAGGCAGGGTGAGCATGGAATGTGGGGGCCAACAGACTGTATTGTATTAAAGGGGCTACTTTCCTAAGACGGGCTGGGGTTTTCTGGCCTTGCCTGAGGATCTTGGAACAGTCCACAGGCAAGGGGCTCTCCTATTTGACCTGGCAGCCACGGGACAATCTCGTGCACTATTTGGCAAAGTGAGAAGATGGAGTCTAGGGGGAGGCGAAGTGAGGATGAGGTTCTGAAGGTGTGAACATCCACACTCGGTGGTTCTGGACCTCTGGCTGCTTCCAGGGCGCTAAGAGCAAGCGTGTCAGCATTTGCCCTGAAGCTCGCATCTTATGGTTGGGTGACACCTCAGACACCAGCTGGCCCTTGGCTCCCACCTGTGAGGAACGGGAGCTAGTCCTCCAAGGGGACAACCTGCTCTGGTCACCAGTAGGAGGGTGGCTGAGCTTTGAGTGACTGGGTATTGGAACTCCCCGTCCCAGGCGCTTCCTTCCCTGCTGCCGCCCGCCTCCGGAGCGGACTTCCCGGAGACAGAGGGCACCCGGTGCTCATTCCAGAGCTCAGTGTCCAAGGCTCTGGACCCTCCGGGGCCATAGGCCTGGATTCCTTGATAGGCACGCACTCAAGAGTGGAGCAGGAATCCCGACCCATCACCTCCTCCCAAGCTTAGCTGTGAGGAGGAGACGTGAAAAGCCCTTAGGACAGTGCCTTCTGCACACCAGGCAGGGTTTTCTTGTCAATTATGCTTCCCTTGGAGGAGAAGTCTCCAGAACCAATCAAGGAGTAAGTGGATGTGGAGAGGCCGGGGTGGGCCTGGGTCCTAGAAACTCCCAAATCTGTACCTTGCAGCAGTGTGATTCAGGGTGCAGGGGGAGAAAGGGGCTGGGTGGTTGGGTGGGAAGAGTTTAACTCTACAGATTCAGTAAATGTGAATACTTTTGACCAGCGATTGCCCCAGAGAGCACACCTGGGCTTAGGAATCTAATGAATCTTCATCCACATGGGGGATGTGTCCACTCCCCTGGACCAGGACCGCACTCCCTCCATCCTTGCAGTTTCCACGCACCCCCTCCCCCGACCCCGCCCGCTGTCGGGACCCTCACCATCCGTCTGGGTCTCCTGATCCACGAGGAGGACGCTGCCCCGCGCCCTGGCATTGTGCCCTGTGCTGGCGGCGGGCTGGACGTCCAGGGCGCAGTCCGAGCGGCTGGGGCGGAACACCGCCGTGTGCACCTCCACTGAGGGGCTGTGCGGCGCGAAGGCGCTGCAGAGCAGGGTCTCCATGCGGCGGCGCGCCTCGGCCTCCTCTTCCGGCTGCGGCTGCACCACGATCCCGACGAGCGCAGCAGGCGGCTGGCGGTGCCGCGCGTGCACCTGCTGCAGGAGCAGCTGCAGCCGCGGCAGGTTGGAGCGGAGCGCCGACGCGCGGCACAGCACCAGGAGCAGCCGGGGGCTGCGCTGGGGCGCGGGGCAGGGCACCCAGCCTCCCGACTGCGGCTCCTCCGCCGCCTCGCGGCAGGAGGTCTCAGACCCAGCCGGAGCCGCCCGGCACTCGCACGGGTCCGTGGCCTTGCACCTGTCGCACCGCCTCTCTTTGGCGCAGCGCCTGGACTTGGCGGCGGGGCAGTCGGCGCCGTCCCACCCGCTGTTACCGGGACGCTTGCGCTGCCGCGTGGCGCAGCTGCTGTGGTAGCTCGCGGCTCGCGTGAACGAGGGCCCGGCGCAGTGATCGTCCGGAGCCTGCTCCAGAACGTCCTGCACGGTCAGGCAGCCCTCATCCCGCTTCCAGAGCTCGCCGAACAGCAGTATCCGGCCGTGGCCCTCGACGGGCTGGGCCCAAGCCTGTTGCTGAGACTCCGCCTTCCTGTCCTTCGGGGCCCTGGAGGGCCCGGCCCCAGGCTCCATGCCCGGTCCCGGCTCTCTTGCCCCTCTGGGCCCCGGGCGTCTGTTGGCCACGGGACAAGCCGCCCTTCCCTGGAGCATGTCACAATACCCCTGCGCCCTACCTCTTCCTGTCCTGACCCAGGGCCTCCGCCCTCTATTTTTTGGAAATCTTCCAACATAGGGAAGTCGCTGCTGCTTGCCGCGGAAATGCCAGCTGTGTTCAGTTTCTCTTGTCATTTTGTGTGTCTTCGGTGTCAACAGGGGAAGTCCTTTTATCTTGGGGATGGACCATTATGCCCAAGCCTCCAAGTAAAACAGATTTTCCTGCACCTCACAGGTACTTAAAAAGCAGTGGGGGAAAAAAAAAAAAAGATAGCAAAAGGCAATGGATCCTGGTGCTCACTGCACCTTGGACACCTGAAAAGCTGTAAGGAACAGAGCCTGGGCTACGTGCTGGATGAACTGGGAGCCAGGGTCCTGGTTCCTGCCCGAACTGGCTGGGGCTGCAGGAGATGGTTCGCAGTCCCCTTCTTCTATGGGTATGTATTTGAAAAATCCAGTCTTTTCCTTCTGTATTTCTCCTTCGCTCTTTACACATTCGCTCTTTACACAGAACTGTACTTAGCCATTTCTGGTCACCAAATATGTGTGTGTTTTCCCCACACTGAGCAATTCTGTGACACCAGCTGGGTGTCCTGCAGTTTAACTCAGTTCTGACACTGTCTTCCTAGGGATAGCATCAGATCCTCAGATCAAGGGTGGTGTCCCGAAAGACTGCCCCCCACTTTCAGATGCCAATTACAAGTCCAGGTTGTTACCCCTGCTTCTGAGCAATTGGCTATAAATCTGAGATTCCCACAGTCCCCTCCTCAGGTTCAACTGATTTGCTATGAATGGCTCACAAAACTCAGGAAAACAGTTTACTTACTGTTGACCAGTTTATTATCAAAAGATATATAGAAGGAGTGCCTGGGTGGCTCAGTAGGTTAAGCGTCTGCCTTCAGCTCAGGTCATGATCCCAGGGTCCTGGAATCGAGTCCCACTCGGGACTCCCTGCTCAGCGAGAATCTGCTTCTCCTTCTCCTTCTGAGCCTCCCCCTGCTTGGGTGTGTGTGCTTGCTCGCTATCTCTCACTCTCAAAGAAATAAAATCTTTGAAAAAAAAAAAAAAAGGATCTAGAGACCCAGATGAATATCCAGAGGGAGGAGACTCACAGGGCAAGGTGTGTGGGACAGGGCGCAGATCTTTCATCCCACTTCTGCGCATTTCCCTGAACTTCCATGTGTTCACCAGCCTGAGAGCTCTTGGAATCCCAATACTATTGGGATTTTATGGAGGCTTTCTCATGTAGGCATGATCAAGTATTAACTCCAGCTCCAATCTTCTTGACCCTCTCTAGAAGATGGGGGATGGGGCTGAAAATCCCCAACTTTTAATCATGGCTTGGTCTTTCTGGTGACCGGCTCCCATGCAGGAGCCCATGCAGAGTCACCTCATTAGAAAAAATCCACTCCCATCACCCAGGAAATTCCACCAGCTTTAGGATCTCCATGTCAGGGACAGGGTTAGTGACCAAATATTAGAACAAAAAATGCTCCTAATGCTCTTATCACTTAAGAAATCAAAGGGTTTCAGGAACTGGAGGCAGAGACCAACAGGTACCTCATAGGGCACCAAAAAGCCAGAAAGATCTTTAGCAAAATCAAAACAAAAAAGCATAAAACTCCTTATCTGCCCTGGGGAGGTGGGACTGAGGTATTCAAGAGAGCCACAGTTATTGGAATTCAAGGGTAGGGAAAAAATTTTCCCTTTGTTAATTGTTAAAAAATGACCTTTATTAGGTTGTTTTAAAATTATTTTTAAAAATATAAAAACTAGGGGCACCTGGGTGGCTCAGTTGGTTAAAGCCTCTGCCTTTGGCTCAGGTCATGATCCCAGGGTCCTAGGATCGAGCCCCGCATTGGGCTCTCTGCTCAGCGGGGAGACTGCTTCCTCCCTCTCTCTCTCTCTGCCTGCCTCTCTGCCTACTTGTGATCTCTGTCTGTCAAATAAATAAATAAAATCTTAAAAAAAAGAGTGTTCCAGATTATTTGTTTTGTATATATATATATAAAAAACTCTGAGCCAGAACCTCTAAGCAGGGATCCTGCTGAAAGCTGCAGGACCCCTTGGGCCAGGGAATTGGGAAGGACGGGGTAAAGGTAGAAGACCCCACAGCTTTGCAGAAGCAGTGTGGACAGTATTGGGGGACTCTTTCCCTATCCTGGTTTTTCAGCCTTGGACCAGAGACTCAGCTCACCTTTCATCTGGATAATGTTGGCAAGAACACTTCCAGCCCCTTCCTCCTCCCTCGGCAAATCCAAAAGTTCAGAGTCAGGGACTCATGGGCGACCTTTCCTTAGGGTGCTGGGTCACTGTGTTATAAATTGATGCTAGTTTCATCTAGGATGAATCAGATCCATCAACCTGGCCACACAGGTGTCTGTTCACCTTTCCACAGGGAGACCTGATTGTGGGAGTCTTTCTTTTTTTTTTTTTTGAAGATTTTATTCATTTGAGGGAGCACAAGTGTGGGAGTTGGCGGGGAGGGTAGTGGGAAAGGGAGAAGCAGACTCTCCACCGAGCAGGGAGCCCCAGGGCTCCATCCTAGGCCCCCGAGATCATGACTTGAGCTAAAAGCAGATGCTTAACCAACTGAGCCACCCAGGTGCCCCTGGATGTGGGAGTCTTAAAATTTGTATCACCGTGGGGAGGAGGCGACCCTGCCTGGGCTTGACCTGAACTTTCTTTCTTTTTTTTTTTTTTTAAGATTTTTTAAAAAAGATTTTATTTCTTTATTTGAAACAGAGAGAGCCAAAAAGCATGAGCAGGGGGAGGGGGAGAAGGAGACTCCCGCTGAGCAGGGAGCCTGACATGGGGCTCGATTCCAGGGTCCCCGGATCATGATCAGAGCTGAAGGCAGATGCCTAACTGACTGAGCCACCCAGGTGCCCTTTGACCTGAACTTTCTAAGCCAGCTTTTATCAAGTTCTGAACTGGGGAGGACCAGTTAGGAAGGACTAGAGGTCCCAGACTCCCAAAACGTAGATTGGAACTGAACTGTAAGGAGGGAAGACTGTTTCCCTCTCTAGCTCTGTCCCCCTTGACTGGGGTGAAAGCAGCCCGAGGCTGCCAGGGGCAGGCCAATGCTGTGTTCCTCACCCTCAGCTCACTGAATCAGACAGTTATCCGAGGACCCTCCTATTTAACTGTCTGACATGGTGGGCTGTCCTTATTCAGAAGGTGAAGACTGAGGTACCACTGACAAAGGGCCCACGTAGGCCACGCCCCTGGGCACAGTGAAGACGCAGCATGGGGACAGGAGCAGGGAGTGGCCCAGCTACCAGCTTCAGCGTGACCTTACAGAGGAGGAGGATGGTGCTGGAGTCCAGGCATCCCTAGCAACCCTTCTGGGTTTTTGTTTTTGTTTTTTTCCCCTGGAGGGAGAGAGACTTATGGCAGAAGTGGCCCTAGAGGCGGGCCCTAGATGTATGAGTGTACCACGTGAATTCTAAGACTCCTTAGCATACACTCGGGGAGGGGGGGAACAGAATACATCACCCCTAAATGTGTCACTTTGGCATGTGGATTATTTTGAGCTGAAGGCAAGCAAGACCCAAAAGACACAGGAAAAGCTTTTTCCCTCTCCTTTAACTGCCTAGAAGAATTTAGATAGGGGGCCTGACCCAGAAAGAGAGCTATTACCAAATAATTTTTTTTTTTTTTTAACCAGAGAGAGTTTTCCGCATGACAGAGCCAACACCCGATTAGCAAATACCTGCTTTTCTCATCTTTCTGGGACTTGTCCTCCTCCCTCTGGAGCCCCAGGTCCCTTGTCCCGTTCCTCAGCTCAGGACGGCATGTGAGCCTCAATTGCCCGACTACCTTTGAGTCTCCTATTTTTATGGGGCTCCCATATGTAAAAAATTAAATTTTTTTTCTCCTGTTACTCTGTTCTATGTCAATTTAATTTTTGGACCAACTAAAGAACCCAGAAGGGAAGAAGGGAACATTTTTCCTCCTCAACAACTTTGGACTCCTTCATGGTTCATCTAAGTTGATGTCACAAAGAGATCCAAGGATATATTGGCTTAGAAATGACATTTTTTTTTTCTATTGAGGTCAGCCATAGATGCTCTGCCCCCTTCACAGGTGGCTTCCTTTCCTGTCTCCAGGGTAGCTGGCCCAGCACTCTTTAGCCCCCAGACAGAGGATGCAAAGATGGGAGGGAGGGAAAGGTCGCGTCCTTTCTAGGGCATGATTTGGAAGTTGGGTGCATCAGTTCCCCTCATGTTCCATTGGCCAGCACTAGCCACGTGACCACCTTGGCTGTGGGAGAACCTGGGACTTGTGGCCTCTGGTCAGGCACCCAGTTAATCCTTCTATTACAAAAAGGAAGAAGGGATAAAAAGATATTGAGGGACATTTAACAGACTCCCCTTTGTGTCTAGTAATAATTGTCCCCATTAATTGAGGTCTTTCCGTGTGCTGGGTATACGCATATGTTATCTTTTTCTGCAATCCAGCAATGGGTAGGCACCACCTCCAAGTTCTAGATGCAGAAACCAAGGGTCAGAAGGGTTAAGTAAGTTGGCCAAATTCAATCAGCTTGTGAGTGGTAGGTCTGGATCTAAACCCACATCTGACTGGCCACAAATGGCTGGGATGCAGGAAGGAACATGACATCCTGAGGCTGAGATGGGGCTAACCCTCCATCATTCTGGCTTCTGGAGGCTAATCCAGATATAGGTCATGGGGTGAGAGGGAGGGAAGGGAAGGTTGGGTGAGGAAGAGGGAGAGGGAATCGCCTGGAACAAGCACCCCCTCCCACCAATTGTTTTAGGCTCTCAAATGGTAAAGCTTCTGGGCACAGAGTTTTAAGGGCACAGTGAGAAAAGGTTGGTTCTAACCTAACCAACCTGTTCTGACCAAATGACTAACCCTTCCTTTCTTCCTTTGAAGGTGGGTAACTTTCTGACTAAAATATTTATAAAATATTTTCATAATAAGGGATATTGAGAAGAAAGATT